CCCGTTCATCCCCTTCCCTTCAGGGGCTGTGGGGAGTACAGGATTACCCTGAGCAGATTTTGAACACTTGTCTTGTTTGCATTAAGAGTAGCAGAGGGTTGCCAGCAGGCACTGGACTGAGGTGGCGTACCAGCTAACAAACAAACACACTTGTCCATTGGAGGGATACTCCCCAGTACAGAAATGGCCAGATTAACTCCTGCTTCCTTTTCCTCTGCCTTCTTTGATGCATTGGGATTTGATCCTAGCTCTGAGGCAGTGCAGATCGTTCCAGGGCTTCCCAGACCTGAGCAGCACAAGGTCACTGCAGTTGTATTCAGGAAGGATACTTTCCTCCACCTCAAAGTAGCTGAGATCTTGGGAGGCTTCCCTGCTTTCTCTGGGGCACTCTTCCCATGGTGTGTCTGGGCACATCTCACCTTAGTTGCTCTCTTTACCTGCCGTGGCTCCAGCCCTGCACACTGGATCCATCTGCCCCCACATCTTCCCCACCACACTATGCCTATGGGGTGTGACAAGTGCCTTTTTGGCAGTGATGGCTAGAAGGCAGAAGGTTGGTCTGAAAAGCTCTGGACCGTGTTGGTAACAGGCTACGCTCAGGGTGATTCAGGTGCCAGTCGTCCTCCAAATGCCTAGTGGTGGCATACCTTCTGCCACTTGCATGGCTGCCAAGCCCAGCAGCCTCCGCACACGCCTTTCTTGCTGCCAGCTGGGGTCAGCTCGGGTAAAAAGGAGGGTCCTGTATGGTCCTGCTTACATATGCCTCTCTCTCCCTCGCCACCCTAATTTATCCTGTCCCTAATCTAAAGCGAAGTGCTATATCCTCTTCCCAGCCCCTAAAGGAGAGGAGGCACTTGGAGGTACGTGGGGATGAAGGACTACAAGGAACAAGAGAAAGGACCAAGCAAAACAGTGGGAGCCAAGCAGGCATCCCTTCTGTCAAGGGTCGGTGAGCTATACTGCCGCCACAGCAGAGCCAGAGCCATGTCCTCCCCGGGCTGGATGCCACCCAGCTTTCAATGAGGTGGCTCCATATCCTGCCACTTCCTGGGGGTGCCCAGCTGGACGAGATGGTGCCCCATGTTGGCAGCCCTCTGGATGGGCCCCTCCATCTGGGCTAACATCTCCTTGCTTTGCAGACCCACCGTACATCTCCAACACCAAGAACACTGGCGCCTCGGTCGGCCAGAAGGGCATCCTGCGCTGCGAAGCCGTTGCCGTGCCCGTGGCTGAATTCCAGTGGTTCAAAGAAGACACCAGGTACCTAAGTGAAAGCAAGCTGCTAAGGGGAACTACGAGCTCACACGCTGTGCCCTTGGGGTGAGCTTGGCATGCCCGATATCTGGGGTCAGGTGGGGCCATTTGGCACAACAGCAAAAAGAGTGATCGTTACACTACCGTCTAAGACATTTCATATAGACAGCCTGGGGAGCTTGCTGCAAGTCTCTTCCCTATAATTAAAGAGTTCAGTAGAAGATGCAGCGAGGTACTTAGTAAAGAAAGAACTCCTGCCGTAGTCAGGAGGAGCCTCAGGCCACGAGGCTGAAAAAGGGGTCAGGAGTAGTAGGGTAGGGCCCTTTAGCAAGGAGTTTTTTTTCTCGGTCACCTGGTAGAAAGGACCCTGATCCTCTGTGATGGATCCTCAGCTGGTGTAAACTGGGCAGAGTGGGCAGAGCAGCTCATGCTTTAGACTGATTGAGTCTCCCAGTCACACCTGGTCAAGTGACCTGGCCACTGGGAACCAGTCCGCAGGGTGCCTGATCCAGGGAGCCTCCAGCAGAGGGCTCATGCCATGGGGGAGAGCGCCGTCCTTGGCCTGTAACAGCATGTACAGAACTGTTGGGGGAGGGAACCCCCTTGGTACCAGCCCTTAGCCAATGTCCTTGCTGCCCCGCAGATTAGCCAATGGGCTAGACGGAGTGCGAATCGAGAACAAAGGCCAAATGTCCACGCTGACCTTCTTCAATGTCTCAGAAAAGGACTACGGCAACTACACCTGCGTGGCCACTAACAAGCTGGGGAACACCAATGCCAGTATAATCCTGTATGGTAGGTCTGCGGGGCAGAGCCTGTGCTCTGGCTGTGCTCCTGCCAGCACGCAAAGGGAGCTGGATTAACTGCCAAGCATTAATCCAAAACTCCTTGCACATCTGTCCACTCACGGGGAAGGCAAAGTTCAACAATAGGCAAAGTGCTGACATGATGCTTTGAGCATGCCAGCTTCAGGGTTTACATGGCGTGGGAAGGGGCAGTAGCTCGGTGTTGGCTCTTCCACAAAGGGAGTGGTCCTCAGCTGGGGCGAGCTATATGGCAAAGCAAAAGAAGGGTGTTGCTCCATCATTGAGCCTCCTGCCCTGCACACCCCAGCATACCTGTGTCTGGGAGACCGATCCCAAGAAACCAGAGTCTGCCTGTCAAAGGCAAGAGGAGCCCGGCCCTGTTTATTTGCCAGCATCTAAATGTGATGTAGCCCTTGCAGGAGGCTAGTGAAAATGAAGGCCCTTACTCTCCCGCTCAAGCACAGCATCAGTAGCATGTGATGCATTTTAAACCCACTGAGCTCAGAAGGGTCCTCACATCTTTAAAACCCAATGCAAGCAGAAAGGAAGCAGCACTCAGGGAGTAGCAGGCGCTCTCACCCTCCTCTTGTATGCGGGTAAACTGGGACGCACTGAGGGAACAAGCAGCCAGGAGGATTAGCAGCCCAATCGCGTTAACCCAAGCCTGGTTCCCCAGACTGGACGGGGAAGTGGGGGGTTCTCTAGTGGGTTCTGTCGCCAATTTGTCCTTCCGCAAACCTGGTTTCATCTCCATGTCTAAGCCAGGTACAGGGTCCCTGCCAGCAGGCTCTGCCATCATTTCCCCCTAAGGGAGCATCACAGTTGCTCTGGAGTCTCCCTTTAAAGCCGCATTTTTGTCCCGAAAAGTGATGTCACACTGAAGGCAGTTTCCTAGTCACACCTGGGTCCCATGTGAGGAGCTGTCATGGTCACTTGCCAGTCTTACGTGGCATCTGCAAACCCAGCTATGTATGAGCCTTGGCTATATAGATTCCACATACTGGCAGAGAGCAGGTGTTTGGGTTAATCCCCAAGCAGAGCAGGACCTAGGTGATTCCCCAGCAGACTTGCATTGCTGAAGCAACTGGACACGAGTCCGGCTTGTGGGCCACGTGGAAAGAGAGGTGTCACGTTTCCGATGATTGCCGTGCCTCAGTGTCCGTGTTGCGTGTCACCACGTCAGCTGCATCCACATCACTGCCATGTGTTCTGTTTGTGTGGCGAGATCACCGTTCTAATGAGCATGCATTCATCAACTGTCTGCAGATATGAACTATGTATTTTCTTTTTTTTCTCCCCCCTTTCTGTTCTCTGTTCTCTCTCCTTCTGTGTCCATTGTCCTCTGTTTTAGAAAGTGAGCCCACAGCACTGGCAGGTTGGTACAGCATGTTCCTTCCTTCATTTGCTTGCAACACCCCCAATGCCTTTGCCTCATAGGCTGGTTAAGACTAATGGCCAGCTGCTCGATGAGTCCAAAAGGGCAAGCGTGAGTAGTTTTAAGGCCAGGGTTTTGTGCTTAGCAAGGAAGGGATGGATTGGACTGGGCACAGGGTGTGTTTGGGGTTTTTTTCTGCCTCAGCAAAATCTCTGCAAAAGTCAGTTTGACCAAGTGTATGCCAGGTCAGTAGGCATCGTGCATACGTGCTGCTTTCAGTGCTGTCCAGCAAAAAGATGTATTTATTCTGATCAACTGGGCCCCTAATTCTTGTCTGCATATCAGACAAATACAACAAGAGACATGACATCCTTCCGGATCATTGGCAGGTCCAGGCAAAGGACTGTCAATAGGTCTCAGGAGGCCAAAAGTTTATAAGTTCAAGGTGGGAGAGGCTGTAAAGTGTATCATGGGGAGGACCTCTATAAGGGGAAGTTTGCCACATGCAGCCAATCTCAGACCTGCTCTGCAGACCGCAGTGAAGCTGAGTTGCTTATGCCAAGTTTGAATTTGGCCCCTCTTTGCTCTTTATGTTAAAGAAAAGCATCTCAAGGCATATATAAAATAGGAACCATCGGAGGGTGCAACACTAACAGATGAATGAGAGCGCTGACTTAAAGGTGACCTGCAAAGGGAGTCAAACTTGGTCTCTGCCCTTGTCCCTCAATTCCTTTATGATGTACTGAAAAAGGAACATATAGTGTGGGTTTCCATTAGAAACCCAACCCTGGTCTGCACCGGGAGATGCTGTAGAGCACTGGGACTCTCAGTCCAAGAGTAATCACTGGGGAGTAATATGAAAAAAATCACCTGAAACATGCTGCAAACAGGCAAAAGAAAAGTTCTCTTTGTTGACAATCCTGACGTTCGAGCAAAGTCAAAATTGTTTTTTCCTGAGACAGCAGCAGGTCCTCTGGTGAAAGCAAAGACTAGAGCCTTCATGTTTTGTTGTTTTTCCCCCCCCATCAGGTCCATTTTAAAACAAAACATCATGCAAATAAGCAAAAGGAAAAGCTTCTTGAAGGAATTTTAGATGGCAAAACCCAGCTGCCTTTATACATGATAAAGGAATAGCAAGGGACACAACGCCGGGATTCACTCCCCTTTGCTGGCCACCTTTAAAGGGACACTGTCAGTTTGAAAGAGACCTCTATATTTGGGGAGTGGAGTGGGAAGGGGTGGGGGGCTACTTTTTTGGTGTTTAAAAAAACCCCAAAACAATCTGTGATCAGTAGCAAGGTTTCCACTCCTTTGTCATTTAAATTCCAAAAAACCCCAGCTTTCCAGCCATAGACACCCCCCATGTGGAACCTGCAAGTTAAACCTGGCAGCGCTGAAGCGGTGCCTGAAAACTAGAAAGCGAAGCTAAATGAAACCTCCGCGCTATCTACAGAGCGGCTGTTTTCATTGTTTTCTTCGCAAATGGAATTGATAGGACGGAAATCAGTTTTTTAAATCCTTTGTTTTATCCAATCCAAGGGAATGATTAAAAACAATCCTGCTCTTTGCTATTCAAGTGTCTGCCGTTTAATCTGACAGTGTCTAGACACAGTTCCATTGTCACTTCTAAATTAACTCGTAATTGCTGTTCAGAGATTTGCTACTGCTTTCACATCAGACTCTGCCCCTGCAGGAGGGGGTTAAATTCTTTTTCTGATAGTTATATCTTACCCGGATAGTCCTGCAGATGTACTTCACTTTCCCTTCTAAACGTAAGCCTCAGGTCTAGTGCTGCTGTGAACTGTCTGACAGCCATCACGTTTCAGCCCAGAATTGCCTGCATTTGAGAGATATCATACCTGGAAGGCATAGCACTGTTTGGAAGGTGATCTGGACAAAAGTGCTTTAGAAAGGCACAGTGTTATTACAGCGAGGGCTGCAGGCACTTAGGATGAGCATCTCAGCATTCACCTCTAGCTGTGGATGGAGCAGGGAGAGGTTAACCCTGCTTTGGAGTACAACCCACGTAAGCATAACAAGCTTGGCTCAGTCCCTACTTGACATGCTTTTTTATTAGAAAACCACCATGTGATGCAGTCTGATTGGCAGTCTTTCATCGCCCATCTTTTTTGAGGCAGTACACATAGACTGGGTTAGGTCTGGTAGTGAAGTTCCCAGGAGCATGTTAGAGGCCAGGGTGGAGCACAGACAGGGCAACTGGGTGCTTAAAAGATGCCTCAAGTACAATGGAGTGGGGCAGGAGTATGCTTGAAGACAAGGAGCCTCTTCCAGTGCATGGGGGAGAGGTGTGCTTGAAGGCTGTCAGAAATGCCTGGAGGAGCACAGGGCTGATGACAGGGCATGTGGTCAGGGATTTTCCAAAGGCATATGAAGTACATAGAAACCTGTTCAGGGTCTGAGGTGTAGTGGGGTCACTCTCAGAGGCCTTGCTATCAATAGCAGGTGCCTTGGGTGTCCACTTCTGTCCAAGGCCCATTCAGAAATCAAAGGCGGAATCCACCCAGATAGTCAAGAGCATACAAGGTGAGTTAGAGACACTGTGATCTTGGCTTTTGGGGGGTGGACTAAGGAAAGGGTTGGGGGAAAGCGAGTGACATGCTGCTAATTAATTTCTGGGCACAGTAATTTCCTATGCCTATGGGAGAGCAGCCATTTCTGTCATGCAAACAAGGCTGGTGGCTCCTCACCTGCAGCAGGTCCTTGGCAAGGTGAAGCCCTAACTGTAAGATGTGCCAGCCAACGTCTCTGCTTCCAAGTTCACTGTTCTTCCCCTCGAGCTTTGCTGACAGGCACTCACATTTTGGTTGGCCAACTCCTAAACAAGTAAGTGTATTAGCTGTGCCTGATAGGCAAGGAAGGGAGAAGCATTCAACCCATGCTGAGAGTAATAACTTGGGGCTGGACTCGATGATCTTCCAGCTCTAATGTCTATGAAAAACTTCCTGTGAGCAAGAAAAGATCTGAGCAAGCCTCTGTCCTCCACTTCCTCCTAGCAAACTTTCTTCATTGTGTGGCTACAAATGTTGAATATTTGCTGCCAGGCTAACAGTACAGCTGCTGCTCCACTGCCATTCACCAGCCCACACACTTCTCCTTCCTGCCTCTCCAGAATGTGGATGGAGTGGAAGGGATAGAGGAGAAAGCAGCTGAAGGTGCTCAGGGAGGGAAATGCAGTCACAGAGATGCATTTAAAATTAGCCCATACCCCTTCTGTGGCCATTTCTGTCAGTGGAAGGGAAGTGCCAGTGCCAGCCATCTGGTTCTGGCGCAGTCCTCACCTGCTTTTGCACTGTTGAGAAGATCGAGCGGTCTTGGATTTGATGCATGCAGCTCTAAAATGCAGGGGTGGGGGGATTCATCTCCTAAAAAATTGTAATAATAATAAAAATTCAAGGAAAAAATACAAGACTGGAAGGTCGTGAATAAACAAGCAAGATCAACTGGAACAATAGAGGTGACCCACAGCTAATCAGATTTGAGAAGCCGAGGTGCGAGAGCAGGGGAGAGCATGAGTCTGGGTAAAAATAAAGAAGATGCAGCAGAATGGAGATGGCTCGAAGCTGCGAGTAAGATCAAGTGGAACAGTTACCAGTATTAATCTGTAATCTGAAAAGCAGTGAGTGCGGCTACAGGTCGCAGTGGGAAACAAAACCCCTCATCTCTTGACCCAAAAACGAGGATACATAAAAAAGCAGTAGTAATAATCAAATCAGTGAACCAGCTATCTGAACACATGCAGTAGAATAAGAAACCCTGGCAAAGGCAAGGTATCTTGATAGAGTGGGGAACAGGCAGGGAGGGGAAGAGAAATCCCCAAGTCCCAAATGGGAAGATGCCTTTGTAAGCAGGCTCTGAGAGGAAAACCTTCAGAGTGAACTCTCTTCATTGATCCGTCGAGTGTCTCCGCATACCTTCCCCACTCCGGAGAAGGAAAGAAAATGACTTTGAGAAAAGCCCGATAGCTTGAGTGTTCCTCCCCCGCATGGAGACTGTGGCATGCGCTGGGTTTTTGTGTCTGTCTGTTTGTTTCCTGTGCCTTGTCTCGCGCGTGTGTCGCACCCCTCTGAGAAATAGGGAGCTCTGTCACACAGGCACAGCACTGTGCTATCGCAGTCCAAGCTGGTGGATGAATGGAGGAGGTGGGGTTGGGGAGTGAGGTTTTCAAGCAAAAAAAGAAAAACTAAAAGGGAAAAAAGTAGTCTAGTTACTTGTGATGGAGGGACGGCGAGAGGGACATGCACAAATGGCATGCCATCTTTTGCAGGAATAGTCAATGGCAGTAGGTTCAACTGCAGGTTTTTAGGGAGATGCATTAACTATGGTGCAAGGAAGAGCCGCGCAGTTTCAGGAGAGCAAAAGGGCTATGAACCGCACAATGTACGCAGCGTTCCTCTTTTGGAGGCCTCACTTTCTATGGCGTTAGCCATACGCAGACCAGCTTCTCGCCCAGACCTGCCGAGGGTTTGGCTCGGCATGCGAACTTCACAGCCCCAGGTTCTCCTTCTCACAAGCCCAACAGATGGCATCAAACTTGGCCCCTCCGGCTGGTGAGGAAAAAAATCTTGACCCCGGCTGTACAAATCCTGCTTCTCTCCCTAACCGAGGCAAATGTCCCTTACCTGACTTTGAAAGCGGAGGCTGACACTAAGTGTCAAGCAAAAAATAGCCCCTTTCTAAACAGAGCCTCACAGAACAGCTTGCTGGCTTCATTTGGGGAAACGGGTGACTCATCGTGAAAGTGCCTAGAAATTAAACTAAAATGAGCAGGGGAAAAAAAAGCCAAACTTCTCATCAGGAGCAGTTAAGCAAATGATTGTCGAGGGACTTCTTTTCTCTCTTTGCCGCGTATCAAGGGCTCTAAAAACCCCTCCATTGCTTTCCCAAACAGGTTTGTACATCTCCAATTTAGTTACGCAGGAGGGGGAGTGAATCACCCTTTTCTTTTTCTGGCTGACGGCAGCAGCACAATCAGTTGCATT